TACACATTAATTGTTCATTAGAGTTTCGACAGAGTTTCGACAGTCATTAAGAGGTTTCGCCCACAACCTTAGTCAATTGTTTAAAAGTTCGAGTCGGGTCGGGTTGAACCACTGACCCGACCCAACCCAACTCGTTCAGAGCTCTAGTAAAACATATTTTATTTGATGGTAAAACATATTTTAGTTACTAAAATCATTACCAAATACAATAATAATATTTATTATTTTATTTAATTCTCAAAAAACATCTTAATATTAAAAAGAAAAATAATAATCAATATCAAAAAATAAACATGCGAATTAATGATATATAATTTCATGTTTTCCTTTAAAGTAATAATATTGTTTGCAATAGATAAATAAATAAATATATTACTTGTATTATCTTCATCTTCAATATCAATTATGTTTACATCATTATTTTTATCATCGATGGTGTCATCTTCAACATCATTATAAGTTTTATAATCATCATCATCAATGATACTTTCATTATTAACATTATAAATTTCATCAATATCATCTTCATTTCAATATTATCTAATAGTATATATAATTATATAATAATATTATTATTCAAGTAATTATTATATCCATGACAAATATTTAATTCTATCTTACTTTTATTGTTGTTTTTATTTTTACTACTACTACTGACATTACTGTTATTATTGCTACTATAGTTGGCTTGGTCTAAAGACCTCCTAAATTTTGGGCAAATTTTAAAAGTATAGAAGTCATTTTCTGTCCTATCTTTTAAAAAAATAGCTCTATTAGTTGATAGAATATGTATTTAGTTTTAATGTAATAATTTTTCCCTGTAATTCTCAATATTTTCTAGTTCATTTTCTGGCAATAATGTAATTATTTTTTCAAAACAATTATGGAATTTTAAAACAACCCTTGCATCTTAAATTATGCCCTTCATTACATGTACCAAAAGCATATAGCAAACAATGATCAAGATACTTATCATGTTTTAATTCCCCATTTTCACAAATATTTCATTCTTATAATCTTTTTCATGTGCCTTCTAATTAGTTGAATTTCTTCAGATAATTTTTTTTATTATATATAGATGATGATATAAATAAAAAATTAATAAATGTATTAATAAATGAATAAATATACTATAATAAAAAATTAATAAATGTATTGATAAATGAATAAATATACTATAGATAAATGAATTAATAAATGAATAAATAAATGAATAAATATACTATAAATAAAAATTAATAAATGAATTAATAAATGAATAAATATACTATAAATAAGATTATAAAATAATTACCTGAATATTACTATCATTTATATATTTTATTACAACTTTATTTAAATCATCAAATACACCATATCCATAATCAGCACAAATTGAACATAATCCACCTAAGTCATCTCTATATTTATACCTACTGTGAGATCAAAATCCGCATCTCACACAAATCTCTTGAATTTGATTAAACCAATATTTATTTCATTTTCTGGCAGCATCCAATTATGTAATTCTTTGATTACTTTCTCTTACTATAGCACTCAAGCTATTTAATTATTTACAGGGCAAGTTTCCTTATTTCCCTTCTGGTAACATTTTCTCAGCAGTTCTTTGTTATCTGCCTGAGCCAGCACGTCTCAATGATATTTATAATATCTGAAGTATCCGTCATGATACTTTCTACACTGATTATTATTTTTATGATTCAGTTTCTTAACTGACCTCACCTAGCTAGGATTTCCACCGTTAAGGCATTGGCCTAATCTAAATAAAGATAAAGAAAATAAAATTAAAAGAAAATACACACACACTATACTTATCAAAGGTGTCCCCTGGTAAGATAGTAATTAATTAATAATTAAGTTAGAGTTAAAGGTTTATGTGGTTTTGGAAGCAGGTGGATAATTCCACTGGCAAAAGATTATTTTTAAGAGATATTTATGTTCATATTTTATTATTAAGATATTATTGTTATTACAAGACAAAAGTTAAGAATGAATTAACTGATTATTACATGAAAGAGAAATTTACAACATATTTATACATGTTGAAGGTTCTATCATCTAGTTATCTGACTTTGTTGAA